CGTCTGAGGGTTTGACATGTTTCATTCAGGTTGGAGCCGAGGCCGACCACAACTATCAGAACTACATCCTGCGAGGTGAGACTCACCTGAGACAGGACACGCTGAGGGTTAAAGGGCTGCTCCACCCAAAACATGTGTCCAACACGTGTCCAACACGTGTCCAACACGTGTCCAACACAAGACTAATACTTTACCAACGTGCTTCCAACATTTGTCAAACACACAACCAATACTGGACTATCACACCAACACGACCAGCACACGCCCGTCTATAAACCAATCAGAGTCAAGTATAGGTAGACGACGCCCACGTAGGTGACGACAGGACGGACGGTCTTTAGCCGTGTGTAATTGTGTGTCTGTGTGTGTGGTCAGCTCTCAGTCAGATCATGCTCTTTGTGGACGGGATGAATGGAGTGATAAACCACAACGAGACGGTTCAGTGGCTCTACACTCTGACAGGAAGTCTGGTGAGTCTGTCTCTATCAGAGTAAGATCACTGAAAGACGCAGGATGAGGCCGTGGGTTTAAAGCTGTGACGCCACCTGCTGGACAGTAATCGAATGTGTTTCTCTTCAGTCTCGTCTGGTGGTGAAAACGTCTCTGAAGCTTCTCATCGTGTTTGTGGAATATTCAGAGTCCAACAGTCCTCTGCTGATCAACGCTGTGAACACGGTGGACACACGCAGAGGTACACACACACACACACACGCACTATGTGACCTCGGTTAAACTTGTAATCATGTGACATCACAGGATATGAAACGTGACTAAATATTTGTGTGTCGTAGGTGTGAAGTCGTGGAGTTACGTGATGGATGTTCTGGAGGAGAGAAACGGCTCCGACACTGAGCTGCTCATGTTCGCCATGACGCTCATCAACAAGGTGAAGAAACAGTCAACAAGTTTTAAACAGTCACTCAACACAGTCAACGCCTCAACAGAAACTCAGACCCAGTCAGGATGTGGAACAATATCTGGATGCTGTGTGTGTGTGTGTGTGTGTGTGTGTGTGTGTGTGTGTGTGTGTGTGTGTCAGACTCTGGCAGTACTTCCTGATCAGGACTCGTTCTACGACGTCACAGACAGTCTGGAGCAGCTGGGGATGGAAAACATCATCCACAAACACATGAACAACAAGATTACGGAGACCGACCTGCGGGCTCAGTTCGCTGTGTACGAGGTAAACCTACACAACAACACACACACCACACACACACACACACACAAAACTGTCACACAACTGACAAACACGCAAAGAACGACATCATCAGGTCTCTGTACCAATCAGGAAACATGAAGCCTCCAGTCACTCCAAGTGAAACTGTGTGTGTGTGTCTGTGTGTGTCTGTGTGTGACTGTGTGTGTCTGTTTGTGTGTGTGTCTGTGTGTTGCAGACAGCTCTGAGAAACGAGGACGGCGAGGTCGACGACTCTGCCCCTCACGTCCGTAAAGAAAGAAGAAAGATGGTCACCAGCGATCAGGAGGGAAGGAGGAGCCGTCGCACGTCCAATCAAAACCTCCCCGACCTCCTGTCTTCCTCTGCAGGCTCCTCCCCCTCCACCTCACCCATCCCCCCTGTCTTCTCTCCCTCCTCCGCGAACAACCCCATCTCCCCCACCATCTCCTCCGCCTCTTCTCCGAGCCCCACGGCGGGACTCGGCAGCAGGGCCTCGTCTCCGCTGAGCTCCGAGCCCGACAGTCCCACCCCCAGTCCGTCTGGGTCTCATAGAGGGTCCCCACTGCCCCCTCACACCGCCGCCAATGGCACCATGACCGCAGAGCAGGACACGAAGACGCCATCCAGCCCGTAAGTGACTGAGCTGAACTATTCTCTTCTTCTTCAGAAACGTGTCACGCTATCGTCACCTGAGATGCTCAAAGAGTCAAAAGCTGTCGTCAGACATAAACTCAGGACAGTGGGGTTTGTTAGTGTTTGTCCTGTGAAGCAGCTGATTGTCCAACTCGTCCACAACAATAGGAACGTGTGGGGGACATTCAGGGGAGGGGCGGAGCCTGTAGAGCAGCAGGAGGCGGGAAAGATCAGTGTTGTTGTTAACAGCTCGTCCACACTGGTGTCGACCGTCACGTGTTAGAAACCTCATCAACACTTTCGCTCGCTGTGAATTTTCCAGCTGTTTTCTCAAATTCAGTTTGATCCGAACGTTCGATGGAAGACGACCTCTGTCCCCCACTCCCAGTGACCCCTCCCCCTCCCTCTTGGGTTTCTGTGGTGTTTCCTAATGTTTCTGACCGTAGACTGTAAATACAGGTGGACGACATGACAGCTCCTGCCCCCTGGTGGCTGGCTGTTGTTTGATTTTATGAAACTGTCCAAGATATCATGATTGACAGCTGAAACTGACTTGTGATTGGTTGTGTGTGTGTATTGACGGGGCCTCGAAGCTGCAGCTCTATGCCACGATCACTACTGCACCTGACCAAATGACCACTGCATCACCACAAGGTGGCACAATCTGTATCCAGGATATTTGGATTTCACTCCTGGCCAGTAGGAGGAGGTGCAGACGTGACGTCCATCTTTATTTACAGTTTCTTTTCTGACTAAACAACCAAACTGTTAATCCCGTAAAGAATCTGCAGACTAATCTATAAAAAGATAGTTGCAGCTGATCTAATGTGGGATCTGGTCCTGGTTCTTCTTCTTGTGTTTGACTTGGTGTGGGTTCTCTGTCTCTGATATAACCACTGGTGTGCCGTCCCCCCCTGCTGTGGTGTGTCTGGACCACTAGGAGTCGCTCTTTCCTCAGTCACCACATGTTGGCCCTTGGTCTGGGCAGGAGGTCCAGACTATTCTCCAAAGCCAGCTCCATCTCTGAGGAGTCTTCAGCGGCCGGCAGGTCTGTAACTGAGACTGACCTCAGAGCAGCTGAGTCTGTGGAAACATCACTAACACACTCTCCAGCAGGCTGTAATTTGCATTGCAGTGACCTGAGGGTGGCGCTAGAGGAAAGTTCTGTGGGTCATTAAAATTAAAGGATTCATAAAATCAGCTCAGGTGGCGTGGAGGCTGTGAGAGCAGCACATCAATGAATCTGTTGTTGTTCCGCTGTCCACATACTTTTGGCCATGTTGTGAATTCCACCATCATAGAAAGTTGATGTTTCACATTTGGGGAAAAAAAAAAAAAATCAGCTGTTCACCTGGAAACATTTAGCAGGAGTCACACTGACCACTCAGGCCGAGGTGATGACCTCTGACCTCAGAACACAGGACGTCCCCTCAGGTAGCTGCAGCAAATCAGATTAATACTTTTCTGTCTTTGTGAAGACGCCAGGTCTGAAACCTGAAGGTCAGAACACCGACTGATCATTATATCAGGTCCTCGTGTGTGTGTGTGTGTGTGTCAAACACACACACACACACACACCCACACATACACACATACACACACACACACATGCAGCAGCTGGATGAACTGTCAGAAAAAGTTTTTCTCCTCCATTCTTGACCATTCAAGAATTTATAGTGTGTGTGTGTGTGTGTGTGTGTGTGTGTGTGTTGCAGCTCGTCCCCCACAGACGTCGTCTTTCAGGAGAAGTCATCCCAGTTGAATCCGGAGCAGTCGAGCAACAAGGCGGAGCCTAAGAGCGGATTCAAGTGAGTGAAACGGACGAGGTGGGCTGTACGGGGATGTGTGGTAACCATAGTAACCACAATGCTGCAGATGTATGATCACAGTTTTGTCGTAGATCAACATGACTTAAAGTTTTATTCTGGATTTGCACAAATGTTTAAGTCTCTGTTATAATTCAGCTGTGAATGTGGAAACATCTGGATCTTTTCTCGATTATCATTTTTTTATTCCATCTGGCTGATTTCTGGATCCTTTCTTCATGATGTCACTGTGATTTTATTTCTGGATCCTTTCTTTTTCTCTGGATCGTCTCCAGGTTTTTATGTTTCTAGTTTTCATTTATTCATCACCTCTTTTCTTGATCTTATGTTTTCTGAATTTTCTGGATCTTGTTCGTAAAATATATTTTTTTTTCTTCTGGATTTTCTCTTTGGTTTGACTCTCACCACGCTCTCGCTCTTTCTCTCTCTCCATCATAAAATGTTATTGTTTTGTCTGTTGCTCTAATCCTTCTCTCTCTCTCTTTCTTTTCCTCCTCCGTCGTCTTTTCTCTTCTTCTCCTCCCTCGTCCCTCCCCCAGCTCTGGGGAGTCTGACTCGCTCTTCTGGTGAGTACTCGTAACCCCCCCCCCCCCCCCCCCCCCCCCCCCTCCTTCACAGACCTGTCATCAGGTTTTGTGTCGTAGCAGCTGAGGATGATGGGAAACCTGTTGGTGCGTATGTGTGTGTGTTGTTCAGCTCTGTGTTGTGTCTCTGCAGCTCAGATGACTGTAATGTAAATCAGGACAAGCCGGTTCTAAAGAGGTTTGAGTAAGTACTGCTGCAGCCCCACTGCATGCTGGGAGCTGGAGGGTGGACAACCGGGCTCTTCTGCATTTGGTGCCTCGCAGTGTGTTTGTGTGTCTGTGTGTGGTTGCAGCCTGGGTTGTGGTGATCTGTTTGCAGGGTCTGAGTCTCGTCCTTACACCTGAAACAGTTTTAGAGAAAAGAATCAACTTCATGTTGTTTTATTATTTTTTAATATAAAATCAAAGCCGTGACTTTTTCCTCTGGTGAGTTGAATTCGTTCAGGTCAGAGTCATTGCACCTCAGTGTCATCCCCTCCCCCCTTCTCCCATCCATCCGGAGCTGGTCTGGATCTGTTGTGGTTCGGATCAGAACAAGTGACTGTGATTGTTGTGAAGCTTCTAAACACAGACATGAAGTCCAGATGTTTCATTACAGAACAGAGCAGCAGCACATCTGTGGTTCCTCACACCTGGACCAGGTCTAATCTTCCACGTGTGTGTGTGTGTGTGTGTGTGTGTGTGTGTGTGTGTGTGTGTGTGTGTGTGTGTGTGTGTGTGTGTGTGTGTTGCTGCTGCTGGTGGCGGGGCTGATTCTCGGATCCTGGTGTGTCGTGTGTCTTTAATCTGCCTGCAGCTGGTTTGGTTTTGAAAAATAAAAATGAATCTGGTGAAAATTGTGATTGATTAAATGACGTGTTTCCTTCACCTGTTGTTCGTCTGTAGTTTGTTATCGTCATTATGTTCAGACTCAAACTGTCAGCGTGTTCGCCCCCCCCCCCCCCCCCCCCCCCCCCGTCTGTGTCTATGAGAGCAGTGGGTCCTACTGAAGATGTGACAGATATAGCGTCCTCTAGTGGTGATGGTGTAGATTACACATGATACCGTCAGTTCATGGGGTTTGATGTTTTTCTGCAGTTTGAGTCTGAACATGAGATTTAATGATAAAAATAAAAAGTGAAATGTTTTGATTCAGGGTTCAGGACGATCTGTTCAATATAATGATTAAAAATCGAATCAATGAAGTGATCAATTCATTTTAAAGTTGATCGGAACGTTCTGCTGTGTGTCGGCCATGTTGACTCCATGTCACCCCCCCCCCCACAGAGGTGGCTTCCTGCGCAGCCTGGCCGCCACACAGTGGGAGAAGAAGAGAAGAAGTAAACAGTTCAGCCAGTCCAGGCTGTCCTCGTCTGATGACGTCATAACCCCGAGCTTTCAGCCCGCTGCAGATGAGGGGGGAGGGGCCACAGAGTCGTCACGTCACGGTCAGAAAACAGAAATAAACATTTACTTCAAAAAAAACATGACAACACCGTGACATGTTTGTGTTGTTGCAGCTTCCAGCGGCTCGGACGCAAACGGACACCCCCAGAATGACCCGACCACCGATACCGCCACTGACACAAGCGAGGACACGGGGAGCTTCCAGGCCGGTGAGGGAGCACATGTTCCTACACTGCAGCTGACGGAGCATCAGCAACGAGTGAACGTTCACAAACAACGTGAACCGTTTAACATTTCAAGGCTGCAGCGAATCAGACGAGAAAGAACGAGCCGAGCTCAGCAAAACACATTTTATATGTTGAAGCAGATTCTTTTGTTTCACTCAAAGTTACTTTGTCGTTCAATCAGTTATATAATTTATTACATCACAGCTTCTGTTCGAGGTTGTTTAGAGCACCTGCTGACCTCTGACCTCTGGGAGGGGGCTGAAGAAGTGGACGTCACGGAGACAAAAATCTGCTGCTTCACTTCACCTGTGACTTTTTCCTCTTCTGGAAATAGAGGCAGAGTGAGATCTCTGTTGTGTTTCCCTCCTCTCAGGTGGAGAAGACCATGGCGGTCGGGGTCGTGTGTTGGAGCGTCTGTCCAGCATCAAAGCGCGCTCAGTGGAGCCCTCTGCAGCCTCCGAGAGCAGCGCCTCCCGCAGGGCGGAGCTGGAGGGGCTGGAAGGATCCGCCCAGGCAGCGCTGGCTCGACTGGCTGAAGAACGACAGGTCAGAGTGAAGACCTGTGCGTGACGTCATGTGACTCGGGATGAAAGCTGACGTGGTAAAACAACGTTAATTCACTCCTTCATATAAACGGTGTAAACATGTCACCATCAGAGCCGTTACATCCGGCAGCAGAGCAGCATCGACGTGGAGGGCCCCGCCCGCCGCCTGGAGACCACCCAGATGACCCCGCTGGGCCCCGGGGGTCCTGCCGACGCCTGGGACCAGCTGCAGCCGAGCGCCGCTGCCCTGCGCATCAAAGACCTGGACTTCTCCGACCTGCTGGACGAGGAGGACATCGACGTGTTGGACATGGACACGCTCGACTCCACCTCCGCCTCCGCCTGCTTCTCTGGCATCCCTCCCGCACCCCCTCCTCCCCCAGGCATGGCTCCCCCTCCTCCTCCTCCCCCACCTCCACCACCTGGGGGCATGGCTCCTCCTCCACCACCTCCCCCTCCTCCAGGTGCTCCTCCTCTTCCTCCTCCTCCCCCCTCGTCCTCGGCGGCGTCCACGCTGAAGAAGAAGAAGACGGTGAAGTTGTTCTGGAGGGAGCTGAAGCAGGCTGACAGACCTGAGAGGTGTCGTTTCGGCCGGGGGACGGTGTGGGCGTCTCTCGACAAGGTGGCAGTGGACACCGCCCGCCTCGAACACCTGTTTGAGTCTAAGGCAAAGGAGCTTCACGTCGCCAAGGTAACCGGACCTAGTCATGATTTAAGCAAAATAGGTTTTTGATTTTTCTGAATGATGATTTAATTGATTTCACATTAAACGAAGTTCGCTGAGTGTGAACGCTGAAGTAGCCGCAGGTCGTGGTCAGAACGCTGCCACGGGGACATTTTAACACCACGTGTCTGATTGTGCAGAAAGGACCTGAGACCAAGAAGTCTGAGATTCTGGTTCTGGACTCGAAGAGAAGCAACGCCATCAACATCGGTATGACTGTGCTGCCGGCCGTCCACGTCATCAAGACCGCCATCCTCAACTTTGACGAGTTCGCCATCAGCAAGGAGGGGATAGAGGTAACATGTACTTCCTGTCTGAGTCTATGATGACTGTGTTAGAGGTGAAAGGTCACCTCTAACACAGTCCCCCCCCCCCATGTTGAGCAGAAGATCCTGACCATGACCCCCACCGACGAGGAGAAGCAGAGGATCCAGGAGGCTCAACTGGCCAATCCTGACGTCCCTCTGGGCACGGCCGAGCAGTTCCTGTGCAGCCTGGCCTCCATCAGTGCCTTGACCCCCCGACTGCAGCTGTGGGCCTTCAAGCTCAACTACGAGGCTCTGGAGAAGGTAACACACACACACACACACACACTGTAAGGAGCTGAACGCAGCGTCACGTGGTCATTGAATGTGATGTCATCATGGTATCATGATGTGAATCAGTAGGTCAAACTGAGGTCATGTGACCACTGATGGTCATTGTTAACATGAATGCATGTGCGTCGCCCCCTGCAGGAGATCGCAGAGCCGCTGTTCGACCTGAAGCTGGGCATGGAGCAGCTGGCGTCCAATCAGACCTTCAGGAGGATCTTGGCGACGCTGCTCGCCATCGGAAACTTTCTCAACAGCTCCAGCGTAAGAACACGAAGTCTCCTCCACACGAGTGATTCACTCGTGTGACACGTGAGGTCAAAGGTCAACAGACGTTCTGTGACGGATCAGTTTTCTCCCTCGTCTCGTCCGTCCCACACTTTTCTTTCATTCGTCCGTAGAATCATTCATGATGGTCAATGACCAGAGTCGCACGCTACTTTCACAATGCATTATGGGAATCTGAGTCCACTGGATGATAACCCTCAGAATGAGCTGCAGAGTCACTGTTTGATGATGTCATGAAGCGGGGGGGGGGGCTGACATTCACCTCCTCAGGTGTTAATCAGGTTAAACATGTGCAGTGTTTCCTCTGTGATGAGATCATACGAACACGTGTGGGAGTCATCACATGTTAGATATGACAGTCAGAGAGAGGAACACAACTGGTACACACACACACATTACACAGACACACACACA